GTTTTGGAACGTAAACATTGGCTTCTCGTCGAGCTTCAGATCCCATCCCTTAAGGCAATAGTATATGACAGCATGATAAATTACATATCATTGGCTGATTTAAGAGATATTATTAAGGGATGGAGCTCTCATTTGGCTAAATTCTTGGATGCGATAAATTATTGGACTCGTTCTGGAAACAAGAAGCCAAAGAAGCTCAATATTACAGTTAGTAGAGATGAGACCGCACCACAACAAACGAAAGGACCCAGAGGGGATTGTGGTCCTCTCGTATGCTTGGCGTTGGAGCGTTTGATCACAATAAGTATAAAGTATCTACCTCCCACCGATAGAGATAGAGTTGCAGTAGGCTTGTGGTTTCGGCATTATATGGCTAGATCGATATATACGAGACGCTGCCTACCTGCATCCGCGTTATAAAAATGTCCATAAACAATTGGTATGTTTATAGGCTTGTGGTTTGAAAATGTTTGGTTAAGTACCTAGAATTTAATAATTTGTTGTTTGTAGGTTTTAGATGTGTAGAAAGTGTTGTTTGAGCAAATGTTTGGTTTATGCAGGTTAATCTCAGAAGTGAGCTGCGTGAAAATGATGTATGGCTGCAAAAGTTGATTCAATAGTAGATGAGGAAATAAGAATTATTGCTTATTTTTTGATTGTTTAATTGATTTGTAAAAGGTGATTTGTAAAAGTTGATTTGTTTAATTGATGTTAACATAATTATTATTTGTGCTTGTTTAATTGATTGAAATGTAATGATTGATTTTGTTGATTTCAATCTGCACTATGTTGAAGGCAAAAATGACTATCGCAATGCGAAATGAAAATCGTAACGAGAGAATCGCAACACGAAATGAAAATCGCAACGAGAGAATCGCAATGCGAAATGAAAATTGCAACGACAAAATCACAACGCAAAACTAAATTCGCGTTGCGATTTTCATTTCGCATTGCGATTCTCTCGTTGCGATTTTCATTTCGCATTGCGATTCTATCGTTGCGATTTTCATTTCGCATTGCGATAGTAATTTCCGCGTTGCGATAGACATTAAGATAATTGCGAACGTCATTTTCGTGTTGCGATAGTCAAATGATTGTCTAATAAGTGATAACAACTGAACAGATCATAGCAATTTTCAAACTCAAGTTACTAATACATGCCTAACTGAAAATGTTAAAAGTTCACACATAAAATCTACATAATACAACGTTTGCATTTAAAAATCACCTAAGTTAACAGTCCCAAAAGGTGAAGCCAGTTGTGATTGGGATTTTAAAGATGAAAATCGCAACACGAAAATGACAATCGCAACGCGAATTTGACTATCGCAACGAGAGAATAAAATCGCGTTGCGATTTTCATTTCGCGTTGCGATTCTCGGTTGATTTAATAAGCAATCTAAGTGAAATAGTTAATCTATTATTGAAATTACCAGTAAACTTATCATCAATTTCAATATGAAAAACCTAATAATAATGCAAAAATTTCAAAAAGAAAATAATTAAAAAAACTAACACTCGGTGGTTGATTTGGTTGATTTTCCATTTCTGATTGTGAGGGTGGCTCTGAGAGATGGAGATAGACGGATTTCGCCGGAGATGGGGACGGATTTCGTCGGAGATGGGTGAGAGAGTGAGAGATGGAGATGGGACTGAGTTGTGATTTTAGGTTTTAGGTTATGAGTTGCGATTACGGGATATACTATGGACGGTTCAGTGTTCCAATATATTAATATTCGTGTTTGGAATTTGAAAATAAAATACGCTTTGCGATACTAATAGCGCTTTGAAAATCGCATTGCGATTATGTATTATCTCGTTGCGAAAGTCAGTATTGCGTTGCGAAATTAAGTATCGCGTTGCGAAAGTCAGTATCGCGTTGCGATTTTGTATTATCGCGTTGCGATAGTCAGTATCGCAACGTGATTTTCCAAATTCGCATTGCGATTTTCTAAATTCACATTGCGATTTTCCAAATTCGCATTGCGATTTACTTATTCGCATTGCGAATTGTGAAAATCGCAACGCGAAATTGGAAAATCGCATTGCGATAGTCATAATCGCGTTGCAAATCTGGAAACTGATTTGCGATAATGGAGATCGCGTTGCGAATTAGCGATCACATTGCGATTTTGTTGGTCATTTTGGCAAATCCGGAAAAAGTTGGTTAAAATCGTATATTATATGGGATTTTTGGTCACTAAGGTTATTTTCTCTTAAGTTTATTTAGATGCACCAATATTTCAGTAATTCGAGTATCAACAACGATAGGATATTTGAACATTCATTGTGGTTGAGAGTATTTAACATATATACTACCACTTATAATCTCCGTAGATTAATAAAAAAAATTACTCATAAATATAAAATAAGAATTATTGGCAACTATGTATTTGGCCCGATAGATAGAGGGTATGTCAACTTTAGAATTATAGGAGAAAATTATTTTTGAGATGTGTAATCTTTTTATAATTTATACAATATTTGGGCTTTACATTATAGAAATGTGTTTGTTAGAGATGTTGAAAAAATGTTTAGAGATACAACGAAATTTAAAATATGTAAATATTATGTATTTTTATTTTTCGTGATATTTATATTTATAATAAATTATTGATTTTTCTTATTCGCGGAGATATTAAACTACCTTGAAATTTATTTATTGCACCTATTTTATATTTATTTTATATTATTTACTTTTTTTCTCATGAAATCTTTTTTTTATATAGTTTATAATGATTATAAAGTAATATTTGTTCATATTTTTTTAGCCATTGATAACAAGCATATACTCTACAGACACAATCACTCGAACCTATGACCTTTAAAAAAAATAACATTATCTGTAACTATTGAAACCACTTAATAATTCTTTTTTGCTCTTGAATTCCTAAACCGTTATAATTTATTCTTCTTAAATGAAAACATTTCTTTAATAAAAGAAAGAATAAAAGTAATAGTTCTATAATTGAATAAACTCAACCAAAATAGAAAGAGACGACATTGATCATATATAAAAATATTTTTAAAGACCAAGTATATTTGATCGATTAGTTAAATTATTATTTTTTTATATTCTCTTAGGTCATGGGTTCTAAACTCACTAAAAGTACACACATTTATTTTTCTAGAGTTTTCCCTTCCTCCTTTAAAATTAAATTTTTAAAATAAATATTTTAAAAAAAATTATAATAACAGTTATAAATAATATATTCACAGATTAAAATTAAATATTACAATACACATCAACCAAAATCCAAAATCTCAAATAATTAGGCGATGATAGTTGACACGAGCTTAATTAGCCCATGAGTGGGAGATGTGTAGGATCTGGCGTGTCGAACCGTACAATAATTAGAGTAGACGGTCTAACGTGTTTCATGGCCATGCGATAGCTTGAGAATCTTTAAGTTTGGTTCACGGAATGTAAGATTATTAGTGAGAATAAAAGATTACCAGGGAATACAATTACTGAGAATGTTGTATTTTGTGTTTGGTTGGTTTAGCATGAATGTAAAATTACCGTATTTGGTTAAAGGAATAAAAAATTATTAAAATATATATTTGACCAAATTGTCCTTATTATATATTTGTATAATATTACAAATTATAAAATATTTATATATTTTCTTTAAAAAATTAAATTCATAATATTTATATAATTTTTTTTACAAAATTAAAAATATAAAAAAAGTTTAATGAAAGGGTAAAATTTTTTTAACACCTGAACTTCGTATAAAATTTTAATTATAGATTTTTTTGTAAATCTAAAATAATTTAAGGATAAATTTGTAATTTAACCTTCGTAGAATTTTTCTTATTCAATGAAAGAAGAATGATATTTTTGGAAAAATAAAAATAAAAATTTAAGGGCATTTTAGTCCAAAACGCCGGTAATGTTATAATACCTAAAGGAAGGGAGGTAATGACATTCCCGGTAATATACCCCAAAAAATCTACTATTTGTAATAAAAAATTACAGAGAATGAGATTCCCAGCCAACCAAACATGGGAATGTGGGATTCCCATCCCATGGGAATCCCACAATCCTTGAATTAAACACCCCCTATGAGTTAACTACAAGATTAATAACTGAATTTTATTTTTTTCTTATTTTATTTAATTTTATTTTTTAATTTACTCACTAAATTTTATAGATTGAAAATTGTTTATCACTCCACCGTTAAATAATTTTATTTAACAGTGTTATGACATTATTATTATTTTTTTATCAAAACAACATCGTTCTAGTATAATTTTTTTTTTAGGAATTCAAAATGATTTTGTTTTAATGTAAGTTACAATATCAGAACTTCGTTTAATTATTTAATGACGGAGTGAAAAAATAATAATTTATAAAGTTTAGTGAGTAAATTGAAAAAATTAAAAGTATAATAAGTGAAATAGGAGAGAAATTAAAGTTTAGTTACTAAGCGTGTAGTTTACGCTTAATTATAATGCTTTTTTGCCCAAAAGCAACCTCAAACTCCTCACCGACTCTGCCCCACTTTCAAACCTTTCCCTAATACGTACGAATTTTGTTTGGCCCACATCACTTGCTCCCAATTCTAGCATTAGCCGCCCGCACCACCCACTGATACGTGGACATGTGTACGACACAGTGAGCATTATCCCTCGTGGCGGGATGTTAGTGGATATTCATTTTGTTTCGCTCTAAAAAAAAGAAATTAACTTCACTTGAAGACCCTTAAGCTGGTCTTAGATTTCAAACACCCTCATATTATCAGCATCTTATCAATCAGATACTTCCATCCATTAGTTTTAGTGTTAAAATCTGATCCAAATATGGCATGAAGTATTTAAATTTAAAATTTAATTAATACGATACATATGCTTTTAGGATTCAATTGAAATATTTTAAAATGTGGAATTAAATTTAAAATCGAAATTATAGTTTGAGGCATCTGATACAATTAATCCGAAATTTAAATGATATTAAAACCAGGAGAGGAAGGCGAATTGCATTTTGGGGAAGAAAAAAGAAGGAAAAAAGATCTTCACTGAAAACGATGCATACTGTGTTCTCAGGTGACGATTTCCCGGACTCCTTTTGGGCGGCCACGGCGGGGATGAACCGAAGCCAATCGGAGTGGGCTTTAGAGATCTTTCTTGAAGAGTTTTCCGGTACCGGCGGGGAGATCCCGGTGTCTCGTTCGAGTGAGAGTGCGATCGGTCCCTCCGTGGCGGATCCTCAGCTGTCTGTTTCAAAATCTGAAGAAGGCGATTGTGATGACGAAGTGGTGGAGATCAAAAGACCTAGCAATCAGAATAATAAATCTCCGCCGTCCGCTCTGAAACCGACGGTCCCGAATGACTCTGACGAGGTCCAGGCGATCCTCAAGAGCAAGCTCGAGCAAGCCTGCGCTGTTTTTGCTCTCTCTCGTGTATTACTCTTTCTCCAATCCCGATTTTCCAACTGGATTCATTATTGTACAATATAAGAAATATAAGTATATATGTCTTTTTTTTCCTCTATTGAGAAATAAATTTATTCAGGTGTCAGCTGTGACGTCAGAAGCTTCGCCTGGCCAACCTGAAGATCAATCGCTTCAATCTAGATCCCAAGTTCAAGGTATGATTTTGATTTGACTTTTTTGTAATGAATTGAGTCTTTTGGACTTTTGTTTAATCTAATGCATAGATATAACTATTTTAGACTAAGGATAAAGACACGTTTACGTTTCTTATTCTTATTTGCAACTCCTGTGATATAAGCATATGAATCATGTCACCCTATAAATAAATTTTAGTTATTTTCTTGTCTCAGATTTTATGGAGCCAATTTAGAATTAGTTCAAAGGGGGTAAATATATTCCTGAGCAGGAGTTAGATTTTAAGGAATAGCTATGATTTGTGTAAAATTTTGCTAATTTCCGTGTTGTGTACTTGTATTTTCACGAATTGATGGAGTGTAGTTGGGAAGATCACCGGTCATATACAGGGTGATAAGCAATCTCGTGCTCATAATATGATTCAGTGGAATAGGAGGCTGCAACCTTTGATCAAGTTTGAATCAAAGTGGTTAATCAAGTTTCTGATTTGTAGTTTAGATCCTTCAAGTTAACCGCATCAGCGACTCGTTGGCTTCTTGATGAACTGTAGGAAAACTTTGCTTTTTCATTTAGTTCTTGCTGGAGCCATTCTTTATATATCATGCATGATTGTTCCTAATAACAGTAAATTGGTGATAGTCATAAGTGCAATGTGACTTGATCTTGGATTCATGCTTGTGCTGAAGAAGTGGAGAAAAGGAAAATGAGAAAAAATGGAGGGGTACATAAAATTGGAATTAATTTTCTTTAATAGATTGGATAACTCTACATAGCCATTCAAACAAGAAATGGGACATTAGCCTGTTAATGTTTCATTCTTCTTCTCCATTTTCCTTATTTTTATTCCCATTTTCTAATACTTTAGTGCTACAAGATATGCTAAAGAACCTGGGGCAATCCATGCATTAATTTGGTTCTCCTCTTTCCATGACTAGTTTACATATAGTAATAACTTGCTGATACAAATTTTACTATTGAAGGTTCCTCAAAGGCTCAAGGACAGGGTGAATCAGATGCTAAACCTTGTGGAATGTTGGCTGTGTCAACTACACAGAAAAAAACAGGGGTACAGAGGAGGCAAACAACAAGTGTGTCATCAGGAGAAGATTCAGATGATGATGAACTTCAAGATACTGAAACCACTGACAGCATGGATCCGACTGATGCAAAACGCGCAAGGAGGTAATCATGTTTTCTATTTTTTATTTTGTATTACTGGTTGGCTTGAGGATTTGCTGTGCTATATTTCTGTTCTTGATTTTCTTTTGCTTAACATGTCTGATTTCCTTTTCTTCCCATCTTTTTCTTTGCCCTAGTTATAAGGATAAGTATCTCTCTCAAGTAATAGCTGTAAGACCAATTTGTTATCTTCAAAGGACTCAAATATTTATTCTGCAAATAGAACTAAGATTTATGATTCTATACCACTTAATCGAACAAAATTCTATTATCTGCTTCCAGTTTTAATCAAAACACAAACGTTCTATGCAGTAATTACCTGTCTTACTGCTAGATTTTTGAACTAAACACAATCTTCAATTTGTTGATGCAATAAAAAAAGTTGCCCTGAATTAATTGGTACGTTGGTGGTGCATCAGAATGCTGTCAAACCGAGAATCAGCTAGACGCTCTAGAAGAAGAAAGCAAGCGCATATGAATGAACTTGAAGCACAGGTTTTGCCACATCATTCCCCTACTCTAATGGTATGGTACAGTTTGTTTTATTGTCTTCTTTATACTGCAAGTGTTTTTTTTTCTAGGTTGGTCAACTACGGGTTGAACATTCCACATTACTCAAGACTCTAGGTGACACGAATCACAAGTATGATGAAGCTGCCGTTGACAATAGAATTCTGAGGGCTGATATTGAGACATTAAGAGCAAAGGTAAACCATCACCCTCAAGTTCATCACCATCACTTCACTATTGCCTAATTTATATTTCCTTATTGTGGCCTGATGATTCTTCATTTAGTTGACTTATGGGTCCTGTTGAAAGTTGAAAATTTACTTCCACATAAATGACAGGAGACTATGTTATTGTTGAAGATACTAATATTTTTATCCATATTATTATTATTAATATTATTATTATTAATATTATTATTATTAATATTATTATTATTATTGCTATTATCATTATTATTATTATTATTATTATTATTATTAATTTATATTAAATATATTAAATACATAATAATAATTACAGACCCATTACATTTGGACCGGCCCAGTTACAAACCAACCAGAACCGGTCCAAATCCAACCAGAAACCTTAAATATTTAGGGTTCCAGTTAGGGTTTCCTAACCCTAATCATCCTCAGCCGCCTCATCACAACCGTTGGATCTGGCACGATCCAACGGTCCACATGGTTCCAGAGAGAAACCCTAGGGTTTGATACCCTAGGGCCACGCGGCGCCGCCCCAGCTTCCACGCGGCTGCCGACAGTCTTCTCGCCGCCACGCCGCTGCCACATCCCAACCGAAGACTCCAGAAGATAAAATGGCAGCCGTCCACGCCATGGCTACTCGGTGAGTCACCACTGGTAGTCCGGTGACTCACCGAGAGCCCTTCTTCGGACCGGTCCGACGGCTACACCGGTGGTGGCTATAAAAGCCACCACCCATCTGCAAGAAAAAAAAAGAGGAGAGACAGAAACAAAGAAAAAAAAACAGAGGAAATAACAACTACCAACGATCCCAGTCTACAACAACAGAGCAAAAACAAAAGGAAAAAGGAAGAAAAAAACTTACCGAGGGAACCGTTGGTCATCAGAACCTTTTTGGAGCCATCGGAAAGTCAAAGGTCGAAGGTATAAACTTTAGATCTACGCATTTCAGTAGTATTTTAGGCTAAAAAACCTACGGATCTAGCTTTAGGGAAAACCAGGCTTTAATTTGGGGTAGGATTTGTAATTTCCGGCCACCGGATATGGCGGCCGGCGGTGGTATTGACGGTGGCTAACGGCGGCCGGCCGGAGAGCTTCTCTCTTTTCTAGAGAGAAGCGAGAGAATTTCTCTCTCAGAAAAGAGAGAGAGAGGGAAGAGAGGAGAAATGAGGCTGGCCCTTCGGGCCAGCTGATTTTAGGCTTAAATAGCCCTTCCCGAACGACGCCGTTTTGGGAAGGGCTATTCGCGTAATAACGAAATAGTTAAACCCCGGCCGCAGTCCTTCGTATTTGTAAATTTTACATTTTGGTCACTAAACTGAATTTGTAATAATTTTAATTTAGTCTTCGAATTTTAATTTTATTCATTTTAGTCCCTCTTATTCAAATAATATATTTAGGATAAATGACAGATTTAATCCCTTAATTTTAATAAATAAAATTTTTATCCCTAGTTCATATTTTTAATTAATTTTATTATAAAATTTGAATTTTAGATAATTTTGTTTTGGTCACTAAATTATTAAAATAAAAAATAAAATATTTAATTAATTAGGATTTAGATTTAATTTTATTTTTATTATAATTTAGTTATTTATTTTATATGTTTTAATTTTACTGCTTAAAATACATTGTTTTAGTAATATTTTTTATTTTATATGGTTAAATATTTTTATATATTCATAAATATACAATAAGTAATAATTTTTAAATATTTATTTTTTATCAAAGAAAAGGACAGTCTTAATACAACTGGATGTCCTATTCTGATATTTTAAAAAATTAAAAAATAAACAATATTATTTAAATTAATATTTATCAATATCAAAGAAAAGAGCTGTCTTAAGGCACCTAGAAGTTCTTTTCGGATATTTTTAAATAAATATAATTTTGAAAATAATAGAATTATAAATTAAATATATTTTTGAATTTTTAAAATTTTAATGATATAGACAATTTATAATTAAAAAGTACCAATTTTGGGCGTTGTAGGGGTGCTAATCCTTCCCTAAACGTAACCGACCACGAATCCCTTGTTATTATTAAAAAGAACGAATTTTTGGTTATAAACGCAGATCAGTTTAATTTTTTTATTGATGTTTTTTTTAAAACTCTTTTAAAAAATATTTTTTTTAGGTATTCGACCTACCTGACCCAAAAGGCCGATGGCGACTCCCAAATTATTTTCAAAACCATTTATTCACATCAATTTTCCCGCCAAAAATAAATATTTCGTGCCCGGACGAAAACCGGTTACGACAGCTTGGCGACTCCGCTGGGGACTGGTCAAACTTTTAAAAGAAAAAAATCAATTATAAATTGTCTCTATTAATTAAAAAATTAAAATTTATATATTTAATTTTTAATTTTTTTTTCTTTTTCAAAATTTTTATATTTACTTATTATTTTTATAATATTTATATGTTTTATTTGCAATTATTTTATATCATTATTTATTTTTCTAAAGTTTGAACATTTCTCCTCACACACAACACTTGCATTGCATAACATAAAGCTCTATAATTGAGTTGTCCCTTTTAAGTGGGAGTGAAAGCGACGTCTTCGTGAGAATTTATTCTCCGTGTCAGACCTAGCAAGTAACTTTCGGGGTTCATATGCTCTATGTCTTCGTGAGAATTTATTCTCCGTGTCAGGTATAGAGAAATGTATCCCCTCGAATTGAACTCGATCCACTTTAGTCTGTAATGGACTAGGATTGAGGGTTAGCAGCCTAAGGGGGCACTAACATGGACAATTCGAGTACCTTTACTCCTAGATCTGAAACCCTGCATATAAAAAACCTTAGAAACTCTTCCAATCCGAAGTCATGCCGAAATTTTGTCCAAAATAGGTATACACACAGGAGAAATGAATTCTGTCTTTCCTGTTAATTTATTTATTGTTTAAGTTACATGTTTATTTAAAAAATTTAAATTCAGAAAAGCATGTTTAAATAAAGAATATTTATGTAAATGTTATTATTCTTTAAACTAACTTATTTTCTTTTTGTGTGTTCATTATTTTTCTGTTTGCATTGCATCATACAGGATAAAAGACATTGATCCTTGTGTTAATTGTCGCATTGGAAAGCCTTCATCTATGGATAAAAAGTGTTCAAATCAAATAATTCTGAACTCAGAAGTAAGACAGTGGGCTGAGGATTTACAAAGACAAGAAGGAGATAGTCTGCAGGATGATTATGTATCTGACTTGGCCAGTTATGCTTCAGTTTCACTAAAAAGAAATGATATGCAAGATTTGCGAAGCATTTGGGAAAGTTGGGATTCAAACAAAAAATTGCAGTTTTATCAGACTTACGGAGACATCCCATATCTGCTCTATGTAGAAGTTGATGATGAATTACTCCGAGCCCTAGTTCAATTCTGGAATCCAGGGTACAATTGCTTCACTTTCAATAAGGAGGACTTGGTCCCTACTATTGAAGAATACACAACTTTGTTACATATCGAAGGGGCTTTGGAGAATCGAATCTATTCAAAGTCAATTAAAACTCAACCCTTCCGAGTTAAATTAGCAAAAATTGCCGGAGTACGAGAAGAATGGGTAGTATCCCGTACAAAACAAAAAGGCGAAAGTGAAGGCATTGCTTGGACCAACATCAGAGAACTTATTCAGAGCCATCCAGATATTAAAGTACGATTCGATCTATTTGCTCTGGGTATATATGGTATGGTCATCTTCCCAAAAGTATTGGGATATGTTGAAGCTGCAGTGGTAGACCTGTTTGAACAGTTACCGAAGAAGATTAATCCTGTTTCTGCCATCCTAGCAGAGACCTTTAGATCGTTAAATGCTTGCAGAAGGTTAGGAGGTGGACGATTCTCAGGGTGTACTCAGTTGTTATATGTTTGGATCCGTAGTCATTTCTGGAGAACAGAAAAGGTTTCGTACCGACGCTTTAATACTGATTATTCACCATTAAAAGAATTTCTAGAGCAGGAATGGCCGAAAGAAATTAAGAAAGATATGTGGATTAATGCCTTTCGAAATCTGCAAAGCAATGACGTTGTTTGGCGCGCCCCATGGCAAATCCAAAGGGAATTCTTTTACAGATGTGGTGATTACAACTGGATAATGCTGCTCGGATTATGGGGAGGAATTGGATATGCTCCACTTCTAGTTATAAGACAGTATGAAGGTCGTCAATTTGTACCTGTCACTGTTGGACTACAGTCATCTGAGTTTGCATTCCACAGCAAAAATTATAAAAGAAATATCATGGAAGCCGTTACAGCTTGGAAAACAACTTTTTGTATCCGAGCTAAAGCAGCAAAAGAAATGCTAACTCCTGATTACGAAGATTGGAGATCTGTCAGAAAAAACGAAAATATTCCTCTACCAGATCAAAATGAGGATATTTCTATGGAAGATCGCATTAAGGTGGTTCCATCAGAGATTGAAATCTTGAGAGCTGAGTTTGAAGCAGAAAGAGAAGGTTGGTCGAAAGAATTAGAGCAAATGAGACAAGATAAAGCTATGTTGGGGGTAGACATTGACTTTCATTCATCACAATGTGCAATGTTGAGAAGAGATAAAGAAAAAGGTGAGGATGAGTACAGAGCCTTACAAAAAAATTACCAGGAGTTATATAAATCCCGAAAAGCATCAGGACCCAGCCAATCGACGGTACAGATGACCAGAGAATTGAACATTGAGAAAAGACGAGTTGAAGATCTGAAAGGAAGGAATAACCGTCTACTCAAAAGCCTGGAAAAAGGAAAGCAAAAAATGGAAGATTTCGAGGTTGACAGAAGAGAGCGAATTATAAAACACAAGGCTGAACACCGCGAGATCATAAATGAAATGCAAAGAGAAAGAGATCGAGCCAAAGATTTAGAAGAGATGAAGAATGACATCTTTGTCAAATTTGAAGGTGAGAAAAATGGCATGTTCAAGGGATTTGAATCTGAAATGAACCAGTTGATTGCTGAGCTTGAAGTCAGAGGCCAAAAGATGGAAGAATCCAATGTTGAAAA